ATTTTATACACACTCGGCCAAATTGTGATGACGTCATCTTTTGTCGCTAATTCGGTCTATTTGAGGGCTCATCCGGGAAATATTAGATAGAGGCGGAGGTAATAAATGTTATTGGACACAATAATTGTACATGCAAAAGACTTATAAATAAATATACGAACATAAAAATATACATTGTAAAGCTGTTAATGTAACGGTTAAATTTGCATCAATATGGCATCTCATTTGGAAGTAGAAAAGTTGATAGAAATACTGTAGGGACTGTCTCTTATACACATCTAGATGTGTATAAGAGACAGTACTACTACCGCATAACAAAGAGAAAGCGACCCACACGGTGCATTCATAAATTTTACACACATTATTAAAATGTATTAGACGATAACTCAATATCACTGACTGAACGATCTACCACCCTCGTATCGCAGTAACTACTGTACTGAACTAGGCCTAATGTTTTTGTGAACTAGAGTGCTGACAAGATGGCGGAGCAATGCAGAGTTATGTACCCGGCAGTCGGCTGCCTTTGTATCTTCACTTGTCTTCAATTTGCATTCAAAGGGTACATTGCTGCATAGCCAACTGTTGGGGATATAGTACCTTAATATGACTACTCATACAACAGAAAAAAACGTCGCATGGAGTTAGTGAGATCTACAGTAAATTAAAAAAACGATGTATTTCAGCAAATATTAAAACCTTTTTGTTTTATTTTAGACCTTCTTCAAAATACCTATGCCACAGCAGTTGATTTTTTTTTGCCGTAAAATCAAAATAGTTTCATCCATACCGACTTGCCGATCGGTTAGCGTGAGCCCTGACAGAACTCTGCAGAAACCTCACATCGATCTTCGCATCGCGAGGTAAAACAAAATGTCGGAAAACTTTTCTTTGACGCATGCGCATTTGCATAAATGTCTACACACATACGCACACACATACTACACACAATAAAAAACAAAGGAAAAACAGTGAGAGTGATTACAATAGTTCCTATTGCATTACATGCATAGGAACTAAAAAACCACTGATTAGGAATAGGTAATCAAGGCTGGCCCTCTTTCTATAAATTAACATCATTCCAGTCTGTGCTTAGGCTATGAATATGTGTTGTTGCTTCTTCAAGTCATTAAACCCCACTAAAAAGGGGTAACGCCTAGCACTGGACAAATTTAACAGTAAAAATGTATCTATTGGGAGAACACTGGTAAATTTGGAATTAAAATGACTTACTGATTACAGTACATTGACCTCTGATGGTCTTCAAATAACTTGAAATCCCAAAATCCAGCGCACTGTCGCTAATTGTTACTTTACTCAAAACTTTGGAAAATATTACATTGATTCCAGTAAAAGACTCATTCTTTTATAGTTTATAACGAAATTAATAGGAATATTGGTGGCAAAGACAAGCCAAACCAATCACTTATCAACAATCATGTTTCAAAGATAATGGCCAAAACATGCTTAAATGTCAAAATTGTTGAAATTTATTTTATTGCACTAAACCAACCTTTTATATATCTATACAGTACATCATTCTATGCTGTTATTTTCCCTAGATTTTCAATGTTAAAACAACAATTTTTAATGATTATTTTGGTGATGGTCTCTGCCTGAGAAATGCCTGAAATCATAAACTTTTCATACAGATACAGATACAGATCTTTTATTGTCATAAAAATACAAGGTACAATTATGAAATTTTAAGGCTGATTTCTCAAATATTGTTCTTTAAACAGCTCTATGTTTAAACACTTGTAACTTCATAAGGAAACGTCGGATTTAAATTATTCTTTTACCATTTTATAGGTCTCATTTTAGTGTTTAACACTGTGGTAATAACTAAAAATCACTAGTGACTGGTTTGGGTTGTCTTTGCCACATAAACTAAAAAGTCAATTTTCATTTGTTGGTCACTGATGGTGGCTTATGGATGGCAAGCCTCATGTAACATTTTGCAAATCATTGTCATGTTAATAACCTACTGTACATACCTGAAGCCTAAATATATTTGAATGGTAAACATTTTCTGTCTCCTTTAACAAGTTTAATTCATCATTTGTTGGTGGTTTGTAGAGATCTCCTTTCTTCAAAAACTTTTTTTTGTTTTCAGTCATTCCATTCTGAGCACGCTTCAGAGTAGAATGAGATTCATCATCAGATTCTTTCTGAAAGAGTAAAAAACAAATGCAAAATAAAATAATATAAAATTTCTAAACATACAGTACGTATACAGTAATTCCTCAAGTATAAACCAACAACCGACCTTGGCCAATTGTTTGAGGTGGGCTCAATCCAGGGTATCGCCTGCTCATGAAAATACTTTTTTAACTTCATAGGAATCACAAATTTTCACCAAATGTCAATTGTTGATTCACTCTTTTTTTTCCCTAAATATTACACTCTTTTTTTCCCCTAAATATTACACACATTCTAAGAGAACTGTTGAATACGATTAGGAGAAGGCAATGGAGTTTCATTGGGCATGAGAAGAGGAGGAGGAATAGAAAGAAGTTCATTGAGGCTGAGATGACAGGGAAAAGAGCGAGAGGAAGACAAAGATTAAAGATCTATGTTAGATTGGATGATGAAGAGGTTAGGAGTTAGAGATGGAAAACAGCTAGACGAAATCGAAAACGATAGGAGAAAATGGAAGCAGAATGCACCACCATGATCTGTCGACGACATTCGATGCCATGACACTAGAAGATACATTACAAACTCTTTAATTCTAAATAGATGTTATTTTAATCTATGTACTGTATAATTAATTGTCAATAACATCAAATCAGGATTAGGAATTAGTTTAAAACAGGTGCCAGAATGGAAGTAAGGCCTGTGCGGGTGATATATCCTCAGAGCAAAAATTACTGTAGACATAGAAATCCGTTTGCACTTTTCGGAAAATAAGATCCGATTTCTGCACAGATTTTTTGGCTTTGACCCAATCTTAAATAATAAATAAACTGTAAAGTAAGGCCTGCGCTGGGAATACATCTTCCGCAAAAAAATTTGGCCTAGAAACCTGTCCGCGCATTTCAGAAAATAAGAGCAGATTTTGCTGAAAATTAGGTTTCAATCTATTCTTAATAATAAACATTATGCATAATTACGATGTTGCGCACATACTTCCATAGCGATTTTCTGCGCAAAAAGTTTTTTAGTTTATCCATACATACAATGAAAATATTTTATTTCTTACAGTATGGGACTACTGTACAACATCCATTGCATAGGCCTAGCCTAGTAGGGGATATGACCGGTTGAGCCGCCGACAAGTTGAGCCGCCGGTAATTTCTATGGAACGCCAAGCACGTTTCTCAGTGAATGTAGTGCGTCTCTCAGTGAATGTAGTCGGCTTGCCGATGTCATCAGTGAATGAACCCCCCCCCTCCAAGCTACATATTCATCACACAGTCTTGGCAATAGTTGATTTGCTCGTATTGCCGTTCGTGATGTATAATTGTGTAATTGAAAATTAGAATTTTGATTATTTTATGTACTACATTTTTATAAAAATATATGAAGTTGTATAATTGCAAAATCGTATTAAAAATGTAATTTTATGTACTACATTTTTATAAAAATAAATGAAGTTGTATAATTGCAAAATCGTATTAAAATGTGTTTATTTACGTTTGGTTTGCAGCGTATTTCAATTAACTTATTCGTTATTTGTACTATTTTGTTAAATTATTTATTATTTATTATAGTTTAACAAATAGTACAAAAATAAAAATATATAAATTATAAAACCATAGTAAATACTGTATAATAACATAGGCCTAACACATTTAAATTTATTGTTTATAGTCATGCAAAATCATATTAAAAATGTAATA